TCGGACCTTCATTAATCGACTTCTACTTCTATTCGTACGGACATTCTCCTTGAACGAAAGTAAACTTGATTTTGAACGAGAGAAAAGAGAGAGAGAAAGACAAAGAGACGACACAAGACAACTAAAGCGGTTCTCAAACTTTAATTTAATAAATCTAAATTATCATTATTATTTGTACTCGAAAAATTGAACAAACCCTATTTAAAAATTTAGATTAGGTAAAGTGTGATAGAATTCTACCGAGAAAATAATGTCAAACTAGTTGGTATTGGTATTTTGCCTTGAGGAAAGTTACACGAACTTCCCGATATGTGTAAATAATCGACTTAATCAATACAATATAAATTAATTTATGGGCGATTAAAAGTATTTCGAGTAGATTTATCACACATCATTAAAAACGAATGTACACTCTATCGTTATACTCAATAAATCGTCTAATTTTAATTTCAACAAACGTCAAAAAACTACTCATTTTCTCAAACTTTGATGATTTTTTAAAACTAAACTACTTGACGTATTGCCGTAATATTTCAGTAAGTTCTATAAGACCATGATATATATCGCCAAAAAAGTTCCATAAAAATCGGCTTAATTTTTTTTAAACAGTTAATTACAAGAGAACAGGTTTTGATTTTTTATAATTGATTCAACGAAGAAATGGCTCGGCAGATCGTCGCACAAACTGACAAACAATAGTCCTCATTGAGATACATCAAATGGTTTTAAAATTTTTGAAATCGGTTCAGGCGTTTTTGAACAAACGCCGATGAAAGGTCTAATTTTGACTAATGCCAAAAAAACGATACTAATTTTTGCAAACTTTAAAGAATTTTTAAAAATAAACGACTTATCGTAGGGCCGTAATATTTTTGTATGATCTATAAATACTATGGGTATCTACCATAAAAAAAATCATAAAAATCGTCGAAAAAAATTTTTTAACACTTTATTACAAGAAAAAACGGCCCGGCCGATCTTTACCAAAAAATTAACCAGCACGATTTTCAATATCATTCGAATAGTTTTTGAATTTTCAGAATCGATTCAGAATTGCGGGCTAAAACGTGAACGATTTTTTTTCATTTTTTGCGTTTTATAAAGAAACGGTTCGGCCGATCGTAGCGCAAAACTGACAAACGATAGACCCCATCGAGATACATCGAATGGCTTCTAAATTTTTGAAATCGGTCTAGCCGTTTTTAGGAAAATGTCGATTTACAGCAAAAAATCTGTTCACATACACACATATTCTTTTTCCAAATTTGGTCTCGATAATTCGATACAGAATGACTTGAAACGTCGAGAAAACATAAAATTAGCTAATCGGATTTTTTGATGAAAACATAAATTTCTTCTTCGGGAAGTTAATAACAATGTTATAAGTGCAACAATTTGTTATCACTTACGATAGCACACGCGTGAAGTCAAACTAATTTTATATTCTAACGTTTGTGCCATTTGGAGGTTAGGTTTTAGAAGTTGGTATAGTGTAAACCGCTCGACCGACAGGAAAAATATAGCGTCTTGAAAAAATATAGTTTGTGAATACCAACTGGACAAAATCGTTTGCCAAATTTTTTATGTTTTGATATGTTATGATGTTAAATGTAATGTTATATATATTTGTATTTGTAATTCATATGTCCTGCCATTAATATTAGTGATGTTGGTCATGGTGTTTTTCCTCGCACTATCTCATATGTCCGTCATTTTTATGTTCATGTTAAAAACTATGTAAAATAAACTTATTAAAATAAACATTAAAATAAATTAGTATATTTTGAAGGAAGCGTTTTATTTTTACCATCAACTATGCGATTATTCATCAAAAGAGACCGATAACATAACTAGTTGTTTTATTCGAGAATTGGCCTATGAATTCCGAAACTTGATTAATAAAAATAAAACTCCATTAACACACAAATTAGAATTTGAGCAGTATGATGAAATTCTTATGAGGCATAAATTAGAATCAAAACTCATTAAGCAGTTTGAGAATCCCTGGTATGTTTTTATTAAATAAGCCGTGCAGTCTGTTAGAAACCGAAATGATATAACAGATTTATAAAAACGACGATAGAACGTACGTACATGAGTGGCGGCAATTTCGAACACTCGTGTCATTTTTTCGATTCTATTAACCTTTTTTTTCTAATTCTCCATTCTCGTTCGCCTAGCTATTTTATTTAGTTTTCTTTTTACTTCATGACTACAAGAAACAACAACATCAATACTAATCGAGTGTTTTGCTCTTTTTCTTTTGCATTAGTTTACCTTGAGTAAGAGTTAAGGTTTGAAACAA